TGCACATTAACTGCAGTGGTTCAGGAAGGTAGCTCACTACCACCTTCTCAAAGGCAACTAGTAATGAGCAATAAATGCTGACCCAGTCAGAGATGCCCACGTCCCATGAGTGAATAAAAAAAATAAGAAGATGCCTAGATAATGGGCTCCAGCAATTGCTGAACAGTAATCACGAACCTCCATGAGGAGAGACTCCTAAAGATTATGGTATAGGAGGTAACTGGTGTTCTCCATTTTTGGCAATACTGTGTTCTCTCCACTTCTCCAATTATTCATTTAGTCACTGAAGTTCAAGCACACTCAAGGCCTAAAACAGCTTTAATATTCGCTATCTTGCCACATCAGCTGTGCTTGCAGACTATCTTACCAGCACCACTGCAATATATATACTTCTTCTGATCCTACAGTTGCCTTTTATAGGAAGACCATAATACAGTAAAGCGTGCTGGCCTAGTACTTATAGCAGAAATGTGTGGGCCTCGTTGGAATGCATTCAATATATAATCAAAATCCATGCTGAACTTTGCAACCTAAGTAAGATCTAGATAAAAGGGCAAATTCAGTACAATGATAAGTTTTTTTCTTTCTGTTCTTAATTGCACTTTTCCACATTTTACAGAATTAATAGTTGGGTTTGCATTGTTGACCTTTTTTTTCCGATAATGCATTTTTTCATTACCATCAGTTGTTGCTGACACTCAGATATACAGTGCTGAGCATGAAAATTGCACTTAGCTCTCTGAACATATTCCATAATGTAGGTAAAAATAAAGAGCTCATGAGAAATAAACACTGCAGGCAAAATTACACTTGAAGTCCTTTATTACTACTTCACCACAGAATCATACAGTACAGAAAAGGCCCTTCAACCCATTGAGTCTACTGCCAAAAATATACTATTGCCTGCAGTAGTCCTACTTTCCCACACTAGGCCCAACTGCACTTAAACGTAACTCCATGGGAAACGGAGTGTGTTGGAGGAAGCCACACTTTACCACATCTGCTTCACAGTCCACACTGTCCTAGAGTTGTGCCATCTGCTTAGAATGACATGCATATAACATCTAAAATAGGGATGTCCTTTCCATAGCAGTGAAAGTTACCATAGCAAACAGCTTTCTTTCTACTGGACCCTTTCAAGCCGCCCCAAAGAACACTAGTTATATCAGGCAGTATGCAGAGTCTACATACACTAAGAGGATAAAATACCAAATATGGAATGGGAACCTGAAATTAAGAGAAGAAACCTAATAGGAGAACATATTGCAAGTTAGGATAGAAAAATCTCCAGGAATTGATATTTTCCATCCCAGGGCATTAAGTGGATTAACTGAGGAAACTGCCATTAGGCATATGGAGAAGGAGGAGGAATTGTGCCATAGGGACACTTGAGCCTGCTTTGTCATTTAATAATTGATTACCTCAGCTTCATTTTCCTGACCTATCCTTAAGTTCCTTGATTCCTTCAGAGCTCAAAACTCGATTGATCACAGCCTCAAATGCATTCAATGACTGAGTATCTACCACTCTCTAGGTAGGAAATTCCAAAGATTGATAAGCCTCTGACTGAAGGAATTTCACCTCAATTCATTCCTAAATGGCTGACCCCTGGGCCTAAACTTATGCTCCCTACTTTTAGACTCTCCAACCCTGGGTAATAGTCTCTCAGCATCCACTACGTCAAGTCCTCTCAGAATCCTAAAAGATTCAATCAGATCATGTTCCTTGTAAAGCAGAAAATATAGGACCAATTGACTCAATCTCTCCTCATGGGACAATTCTTCAACACAGAAATCAACCTCGTAAACCTTTACTGTACCCAAGCCAAAGACAAGTATATCCTTAGCTAGGTATGGGACCTAGGTATGGTACAGTGAAGGCATGGGCCAACCAAAGCCCTCTGCCATCGCAGCAAGACTTCCCTACTCTTGTCTTCCAGCTCCTTGTGATAAAGACCAACATACATTTACTTTCCTATTTGCTCGTGTATCTGTATATTAATTTGGTGTTTTGTGTACAAGTACACCCAAATCTGTCGCAGCATTAGTATTAAAGTTTTTTACTGTGTAAAATATATGCTATTTTTCCAACCAGAGCGAATTTCCCCACATTATACTCCATCTGTTAGAATCTTTGGGCAGAATCTTACCACCATGCAAAGGCAGCTTTGGAAGCATGAGAGAGGGGAATTTGTAGAAGTTGTGCTTTCGATTATCTACCTAACCCATTCCCATCACTCAGTGATACTGCCAGACATGAGGCTCTTTTGATTTAAGATGTTCCATAAACCTTTTTCTTGAAACAAGCTTTCCTTACCCTGCTTCATATCCCCTTAATTGGCTGGATTTATTATTTGATAATACACTGGTGAATACTTTGGGCATTTAACTATTCTGTTGTTTATTTCTATTCTGTTTATTTCTTTTCTATTCATTTACATGATCAGGGTGTTGCTGGCTAAGCCAACATTTATTGACCAGAAGGCAGTTGAGAGTCAACCACATTGTGGTGGGTCTGGAGTCACATGTAGGCCACACCAGGTAAGGGCTGCAGCTTCCTTCTCTAAAGGACTAGGTTGATTTTTCCTGAAAATCAACAATGGAATGATGGCCATCATTAGATTCTTAATTCCAAATTTTTTTTAAATTCAAATTCCACCAACTGCCATGGCGAGATTTGAATCCGGGTCCCTAGAACATTACCTGAGTTTCTGAATTAACAGTCCAGTGATTAAAACACTAGGACTTCCTGATTTCTTCTTGTATTTTTCTTTCTATGCTTTTCTTCAGCCCCCCAGCTCTCCCTTTTCTCCATGCTTGATTTCCTGTGTAAACCTACTAACTTTACCTTTTTCCAAAGACAGTGTGTTTTGGGACTCTGCTGGATGGTTCAGCAGGATTTTAAAAGGTGCATTTAGCCAGCGTCCTGAGTGATCTGTACTATTCTCCAGCTGGGAACTACAGTTGTTTCTAAAATTGTTGATCATTCTATTTATTTTGCAGTTATCCCAAAATAGAAAATATGCATCCATTTATAAATAGGGGTAGTGACCCTCAAAGATAAAAATCTAGAATGACTGTCTAACCTTATCTTTAACAATAATATTAATCCTATACAGCTATTTTCATTGGCATGAGTCTTCTATTGTCAGAGCATTTTAGAAACCACCATTGTAATTCACATCATATTTAATGATTTGGATTTTTTTTATTTAGCCACAAAAGCCTCAATGTTGCTTATAACCAAACATTCCTTTAAAGGCATTAGTCAATACAGTATTAATGTGCTTAGATTTACTAATGCTTCTCAGTCACTAGGTTTAGTATTCAGAGGCAGCACACCACACATATTTTGTGTGCTGTTCTCCCTTCCACAATATTGAAGATAGAAAAAGTGAATTTACGGCTCTAGATATTACTTACCATTTGTGGTGTCACATCAAGAAGAATGCAACACAAAATATCTCAATGAAGTATTTGGGTTTTAAAAGGGGTCTTTGGATCCCTAGACTTTTGTCTGTCTAGATCTGGACAAACTGCAAGCATGGAGACTGGAGAGAATTGTTATCATTTTTGCTTTCTCTCTTTGTTAACTGTCATTATTTATATTGCTGTGTACTAACAAAACATGCTTTCTGCAATGATAGTAACAAATTCTTTTGGATGGCTGATGTTGTATCAGGTAATGGTTTTGAAAAGGTTGATGCAGGAGACTGTATTAAGCTCCACCCAGTGAGGTGATATCATAAGGACCTGAGCAGGGAAAGACAGAACAGCTTAGGATCTGGTTCAGTAAAGATTTATATCGTAGGTCTCCACATAGTCTTAGGAACAATATCTTTCTCACTAATGTAACATGTACCCAATTGCTAGCATGCTGTAAACTTAAATTCTGTTTAAGACCAGAGTAGCTTCTTGTTCATACTCACGTGGTGGTAGCAAACTACCTTGACCAAGCTGGTAATGGTTGGCACGACAACACATATAACAACTGGCAATAGCTATCAAAAAAATAAGACTGTGGATCTTGGGAGTGTGTCAACGTTTGCAGGGAATGCTGCAAGCATGTTGATATTTGGAAGAGATGCGTGGGATTGTGTGAATATTTGTAACAAATGCTGGTAATATATCAGTGCAGAAACACTGGCAGATAGGAACAGGAGTATGCTATTAGGTTCATCAAGCCTGCTTTGCCATTTAACATGATCCTCTAACTCAATGTCACACTCCCACACTCTCCTCATACTCCTTGATACCTCTGGTGTCTGTAGTTCCATCTGTTACAGTGACTTGACTTCCACAGCCATTTGTGGCAGAGAATTCCACAGGTCTGATACCACCGATTGAATCTTTTTGCTTAATCTCAGTCCTAAATGGCCTACTCCATATACAGAGACTGTGACCCATTGCTCTGCATCTACCCCTCCCCCACCAAGGCTGGGCAAACAACAACCCTATCATCTCAGGAATCAGGAAAACCTTGTAGCTTGGCAACACATTCAAGGTGCTGGTGACATGGCAATGTCAGCAGAGGTGCTGGGAATGCAACAATATTTGCCAGGCACGCCGTGAATGTGCAACATTTTCAGAGAATGGGGAATGTGTCAATATTTGCAGGGGTATTATAATGAGGTGTCAATATTTTGCAAAGGGTTCTAGGATCCTTTCAATATTTGGAGGGATTCATCACACATAATTATTTGATAATTATCAAATTTTATCAAATTTGATAATCTCTGCTCTGATTTCAATGAGAGAGTGAATGGAAATGTTTACCACAAACTCCATTTGTGGCATCATGGGAGTGGAAACTCATGATATCACACAAAGGGCCTTCTGCATAAAATGTCTGCTGCTATCAATGTGAACACACAAAACAGAAGGAGGCAGAACAATTACATATTTGCAAGTACATTGGTTTGCCCCTATAAGACACAAGATTATGGACCGATATAATTCCTGTTAAGGTTTACCTCAGACATACTAGAGATTGAGACTTACCTGAATCGCTCCTGACCAGCTGTGTCCCAAATCTGCAACTTAATCCGTTTTCCTGGCTCAATCTCTACCAACCTTGAGAAGAAGTCCACACCAACCGTGGGGTCCGACACTTGGGCAAACCTTCCCTCGGTGAAACGACGGATCAGGCACGACTTGCCCACCGTGGAGTCCCCGATGACTATCAACCTGAACTGATAGACCCAGATAGCCTCCATCTCCTCAGGTGTTGTGATAACCTCTGGCCAAAATGGATAAATATTGTGGCCCAAGAGCAGTAAGTCTTTCAGCAGTATCCTAGTGTGCCCAACTTATTGGGGTTGGTTACACATCAACCAGGTCTAGCACACAGACAAAAACAGAAATCTCTGTCCTGCTCTGAGTCTCAGATTCCTCCTTTTATACGCAGGTTACCATGATCGGCCATTCAAAAAGCAGCATTTGCAGTCACAAAAGGATGTTTCCCTCCAAGGATCAGTCCATTCCTTCTTCAGTGTCCTCACATCGCCAGAATATCCCCGTTTGGAGAAGCTTCCAGTATTTCCAAACGGCCAGGGCACTCGGCGGTAGACAGTGTTTCTCGCTGCTATTAATGTATCTGCAGGCAGACGTGGAGGACTCCCAGGCTTGCTGCTCTCACTGTGTCACACCTCGGATGGTCCTCATGCAGTCTCCATCTTTAAATCTTGCTCAATATCGACCAGGAGAAAGACATCCATGCGATAGCGAGTTGTCAGAATCATCGGGGATGAAGGGGGGAGGGAGAGGGAGCAGTTCAGTCACATGCAGATAATATGAAGAATTAAATGGACTATTGCACGGCTCGCTTCGAAAGCAAGAATTGGCGATAACTAGACAGACAGAGCTCGCTGGGGTTAAACCCTGGCCAAAATCCCAGTTTCCAAAGAGTGGTTATTTGTTCCAGCCAAGGTCGCTCCCATCGCTCCCTCTGACAGGGAGACAGAGCTTCTTTGAAGAAAGAAGAAATTTAATTACAATTACAACACTCCTGTAAGCTAAACATTAAACATCATTTCACGGGTGGTTATTTTTTATCAATACGTTTGAATATACATTAAACATTGCAAGTCCTAGCAGCAAAATCGATTTTGCAAAAAGTTAACTGTATATTTTAATATAAAGACTAATATTTAATGTAAGCTTACTCTCAATTGTAATGGAAGCGATGCCGGCAGCGTTTTTTCACTCCGGGAGGCGCAGAAAGAGAGAGAGGGAGAGAGCAAAAACAAACCACAACGCTTTCAAATATCAAACAATTAAATGGCGAACAGGCCGAAAAGCCGGGACTCCCGAAACTGAGATGATGGCAGCCGGGGATGGGTGGAAGGTAGGGCTTCGATTTCCCCGGGGATAGGTTTGCAGCCTTTCCTCCCTCTCCTGCTCACTGACACAGGAATCACAACCTGTTTTCAGCAGGTTGCAGCCCTGGGCGAAAGCTGATGAAATCACTGCAACATCAGCACCATCGACAACACAGACCGCCCCGCCCCCATCCTGCAACAACCAGCCCATTGCAAGTAGGGTGTGCAATTGCACTGTGCATGTATTTACCAAGCAATGGTCTGCGTGCTCATTTCAAAGCTGCTTTTAGAATAGGTATGGTTTTGAGAATATTTTTAGAAGCATTATCAATGAAGAAAATTTGAGTTTATAAAAGCAAGTTTTCCACAGAATACAAATCGTCAATAATACTTCTGTGCGGATTATCCGCACACATAGGTAAATATGTTTAAATTCTTGACAAGATATTCAATTAATGTCTCAGGTGAGAACCTTTAATACAGGAGCATGGTAGTGTCATACCTGACACACACATCTATATTTTCTCTTTCAAATATTAACATAAATGCTTGTGGCGCTTCCAAAATATTCTGCATTTCATTTCACAATTACAGCATTTGCCACTTTTCTCTCTATATCTGTCTGCATCTACATGGGGTGGGGGCAAGATTAACTTGCAAGAGGCAAGAGTGGAGGCTACAGTGCAGAGAAGCCTGTCCAGACTCCTGGAGCATGAGGCTTAGAACAATTTAGGATGGTCAAAGAATTTGAAACCATTTCCCCATCAGAATAGGGGCATAATTTTAAATTGTCAATCTCTAACCATCTCCCTTAACACATTCAAGAGTTGAATCCCCCACCGCCGATATCCTGCGTGGCTGCCATTGATCAGAAACTCAACTGGACCAGGCACATAAATAATGTGTAGGAGCAAATTACTTATGAATAACGGGACTATTGCAGCGGATCAGAGGCTGTGATTAGGCAAGCGTTAGCATCCGCATACACACTGGTAATTTTAAAAGAGAAGGAATCATCACAGAACCAATAGGAAGAAAGTTGCTGGACAAGATTTAATTTTTAAACCGTTTTACTGTAACAAACCAACTAAAATCAATATAATTCAAACATTAATTATCAACAAGGGATATTTTAAATAAATACATTTCATTTTCAGTGTCACTTACAACTGTCTTATGTATTTACAAGCACTCACATCGCTTCCCACAAAAATCTGGAACCACATGCAATCTTAGCCTTTCCATATCTACATTCCCCATGTAGGATCTCTTGCTTTCCACTCAGTTGTTCTGGACTTGAGTCACAATCCACCCGCAATGGTATTCTATCTGAAATCCCCAGACTTCAAGGGCACTTAGAGATCAGCAAAGCAATGCCCACATCCCATGAATGAAAAAAAAAGTTAATAACATCAAGGTGGTTCAACAAATCCTCTCCCACTGGGGTCAGGACAGCCCAATGATGCTACTGAATCTTAGAGGATTTGTTCTTCCAGCCCTTTAGACGGCTCAGTTGGTTCTGGCAAACAAACAGCAGCAAGGGCCCTCGACCAAACCCCAGTCTGTGCCCTTCCTATGTTCAGATCTGTGCTTTTCCTAACTGTGTAACATAGACAGGAATACAGGGCAGAATCTTCCCAACTTCTAAACAATGTGGGCATTAGTGAGTCAGTTGGAAAAATAAGGTGAGATCAGCAGAAATTACATTCTCGACATCAAGAAAAAGTTTGATTCTCCAACCAAGTTTTGAATGGTGAAATGAGAATTTTGCTTGTGAGAGGCGAGAAATGTATTTGTAGCCAATTGCATGTATAAGCATGCCCCTATAACCTCATCTTCACTCATTGATGTGCAGTCCCTCACCACCGAACAGAATGTAGATGGCAATGATTCCCTACATGAAAGTCAGACCGGTAACCTGGCAACATCAGCTCGCTTCTTGGGCCTCCATCTTAAGCAGCAGTCCCCATCAGCTCAGAGAAGGGTCCAGAAGCAGTGACTGCCACATACCCCCATTCACAAAGGTCACCACTGGACATTCAGCAGTCTCAGCGCACCCTCATGACTCTTCTCTGACTCACTTACAATATACTTGTCATTGTAATGCCACTGCCAGGGGACTTGCAAGCAGGAAGAGACATCTAACTCAAGAATTGGTCCAAGTGCACCTCAGACCCCTTCGCTTTCTCTCTTAGCATTCACTCACTTTGAGCTTACTTGAATGCTCACAGCATCTCAGCCGTGCCTTGTCTTTTTGTGCTTTGTCCCCTCTGCCAGAGCTTAAAAGTTCATAGTACTTCTGTCTTGCCTCGCTATTTAGTGCTGTCAACAGTCATTAGTCAAGGTGTTGTACATGTTGCTGTCAGACAATGTGCTACGTCAGTCTCACACCTGAACCATGCGTCAGCAGCATACACAGTATACACACTGTATATGCACCAAGCAAATGGCCATGTCTCAAAGTCAGGGTAAAGTCCTCAATCAGGCTGAGGGAGACAGCCTTCAGTCAGGGATCCCATTACAGTAAGTCTTGGACAGCATTTGATATCAGTCTAGGGGCTTGGACATGGTTAATTAGCTACGTGGAGTGGTTAGGGTCATGGGGGTTTGTATCATTACAGGCTAATGAATGGGCCTGTAGGTGGAATGCGACAAATCCAAGGAGTCACGGTAGGTCAGGTGGGGAGATACACAGGTATCAGTCAGGGGTCTGGTCAGTGATTAGTCAGGACTGTTGGTCCAATTCATTCTGGAAGAGTGGGTCACAATTAGTCCTGGGGTCAGCTCAGTGAAAGTCAAGGGAGTTGTCAGGGTCGTTGCTATGATAGGAAAGGTAGGGATGTCAATTCTGGGGATTGGATGCAGCATGCTGTGATGCAGAAAGGGAGACAATAGTGCCTTGAAGAACATGGGTTACTGCAGAGGTGGGGGTAGAATCACCAATGGAGGGTCACCACCACCTTGTCTTTGACCAGGGTGGAGTGCAGCACAGTATAGTGTGCTAAGATGTAGGGCTGGGACACGTGGGTATTGTTAGGAGCTGAAGGCAATAAGGTGTGTAGGAACGTATGGAAGCCTAATACTGATGGGCTCAACAGACTGTTACAGGAAGAAAGGAACATGGAGGTTTAGGGGTTTCCTTGTTTACTTGGTTAAAACTGCAACTTCCTATGCCAAGCATGGCCTGCCTTGCTTTTCATTCTAATGCAACTCACAAATGTTCTGGAAGTGGAAAATGGCTGTGACCACACCCATAATGGGTGGACTAAGTTTTTTTTTCCCTGTCTGAGCATCTGGACTCTGTTTGTGAGCAATGTGAGACCCTTCAAAGGATAATTGCATTAATCAGGCACTTACCCTGTACAGATTGGAGTCATCAGTAATCAGGCTGTATGGGATACAAATCCTGGTCACAAACAATCGTAACTATGTCATTGGTCATTGCAGATTAACCATACTCATCTCTGGGAAATAGAAGCAATCACAGGCAATCAAAAAGTGGCACTTGTGGACTGCAAAGTGTAGACAGAATTCAATATCACTTAGGCTGCTCAAAGGCAAAGGACTAATTTTCTTTCACCTTGAACTGTAAGTATTCGCCAACATGCTGTTATATGCATTAATGCCTTTCTTAGATGATCTGAGAGGGTGAGTGGACAGGCTATCAGTAATCAGACAACATTTTCAATCCCTCGCCATGATTGCATGACATGACATGTGCTGCATTCGTTGAAATAAGGTCCTTGTGTCAGAGGCTAATGTGGATACATTTCATGGTCCTCCTTGTCAGAGTCTTCTATGTCATGCTGCATGGCTGAATGTGTTAAACCATCAAGGGCTGGATGCTTTACTTGAACGGTTACTGAAAGACAAGGGTTACTGTCTGCAACCGTGGCTGATGACTACATTATGGAACTCCTTTACTGAGGCTAGGCATAGATACAATGCTGCCCATTCTTTGACCAGGGCGATCATGGAGCAAATGATAGATCTTGTGAAGATGAGGTCCTGATGTGTGAATCTGTCTGAGTTTAGCCTTGCAGCATAGTTCAGACAGAGTGTGCCACATAATCCTTGAATGCTGTTCAGCACACAACTGGAGCAGGCTAAAAGGGGCTGAGATAGGCGCTGAAGACTTGGGACAGGAGGAGAGTCTTCCAAGGTGGAAGATGAAGACATTGAGCAAATGGGATATCACCTTCTGCATCATAGCATTACAGCATCAGGTTCAACAATCCAGACAGGACTTAATTGGAACTGGGTTCCAATGAATGTGAGCTGCTACAGTGATCATTCATTGACTATAAATTTGTTGTCACTCGAAAGGCAAGCAGTCCTGTTCCCAGAAGCGATTTTGTTTCTCTTCGCTTTTGCTGTTGCTGTATAAAAATGAATGGATTCAATCATTTTAATGTTTTCCAGTATGTGATGCTCCTACATCGAACAATGGGGCAACGTTAGGCTACACTGAGCCCTCTGTTAGACAAGGTTCTAAGATGGAGTGTAAGATGGGAAGTAAATGCTGGCCTTGGCAATGATGCCCACATCCTGTGAATTAATTTTTAAAAAAAATCCTATATTGTCACTGGGGGTCAAAAATATAACCAAATGCTAATTGTAACTGTATATGGTCACTTTTTCCAGAATGATCACCCACTGCTACTTCATTCGATTGCACAGCTTCATTTCCTGAGATTAAATCTAGAATTGCACACCCTTCATTGGGTTTGTTATGTGCTAACATAGTTCTTTTGATGAGTAGTGTTTGTAGAACAGAGGGACCAGGGGTACAGGTACATAATTTTTTTAAAGTTTGCGTCACATATAGACAGAATGGTTAAAAAGGCGTTTGGCATGCTTGCCTTCATTGCTCAGTCCTTTGAGTATAGGAGTTGGGACTTATGTTGACGTTGTACAGGACATTGGTGAGGCCTCTTCTGGAATATTGTGTCCAGTTCTGGTCACCCACTTATAGGAAGGATATTATCAAGCTGGAGAGGGTTCAGAAGAGATTTACTAGGATGTCACTGGGTATGGAGGGTTTGAGTTGTAAAGAAAGGCTGGATATGCTGGGACTTTTTTCACTGGAGCGTAGGAGGTTGAAAGGTGACCTGACAGAAGTTT